CATGAAGGGTGTGTTGAGGTTCGGGAAAAGGGGCAAGTTGAGCCCTTGGTATATTGGGCCTTTTGAGATACTTAAGAAAATTAGGGAGGTGGCTTATGAACTTGCTTTGCCACCTAGTCTACTTGGTGTTCATCTAGTGTTCCATATATCCATGCTCCGAAAGTATATCGGGGATCCGTCTCACATTCTGGATTTCAGTACAGTATAGCTGGACGGTAATTTGACTTATGATGTAGAGCCGGTGGCTATTTTAGACCGGCAGGTTCGAAAGTTAAGGTCAAAGAACATAGCATCAGTGAAGGTGCAGCGGAGAGGACAGCCAGTCGGAGAAGCTACTTGGGAGACTGAGCAGGAGATGCGGAACAAATATCCACATTTATTTGAAACTCCAGGTATTATTCTAAACCCGTTCGAGGACGAATATTTGTTTAAGAGGGGGAGAATGTAACGACCCGGCCGGTCATTTTGAATATTATAACCCAGTTCCCCCATTTATTGCTCAATTTATGTCTTGCAATTGATTTATGACTTATCGGGTTAGTTGGTTCGGGTCCGGAAGGAACTCGGAGTGAAATGAGACATTTAGTCTCATAATTGAAAATTTAAGTTAGAAAAGTGGACCGGATATGGACCTATGTGTAAATGACCTCGAATTTGAATTTTGATGATTTCAATAGCTCCGTATGGTGATTTTGGGCTTAGGAGCGTGTCCGGAATATTATTTGGAGGTCCGTAGAGAAATTAGGCTTGAAATACCGAAAGTTTGATTTTTGAGAAGTATGATCGGGGGTTGACTTTTTGATATCGGGGTCGTAATCCGATTATGAAAATTGGAATACCTCTGTTATGTCATTTATGACTTATGTGAAAAATTTGAGGTCAATCGGACGTGATTTGATAGTTTCAGGAGTCGTTTGTAGAAATTAGAAATTTCAAAGTTCAATTGAGGTGTAATTCATGGTTTTAGCGTTGTTTGAGGTGATTTGAGGATTCGACTAAGTCCGTATGATGTTTTAGGACTTGTTGGTATATTTGGTTGAGGTCCCGAGGGGCTCGGGTAAGTTTTGGATGGTTAACGGATCATTTTTGGCCTTGGTGAGATTGCTGATATCTGCTGCTGCATTTTTCTGATTTTCTCTTTCGCGTTCGCGAGTGGGACCTCGCATTCGCGAAGAGTGTTTTCTGAGTGTGAGGTTTTGTTCTTCGCGTCCGTGAAGGGGAGGATGCGAACGTGAAGGTATGGTCTGTGTGTGCATCGCGAACGCGTGGTAGGTGTCACGTTCGCGAAGAGGAGTGAGGCTATTGGGGACCCCGGGTCCTTGTTCTACGCGTTCGCGAGGTGGCGATCGCGTTCGTGAAGGTCTGATCTGGTAAAGCTTTGCGTTCACGAAGCCGTGGTCGCGTTCGCGAAGGGTAAGATTTGCAAAGCTTCGCGTTCGCGAAGGGTTAAATTTGTGGGCAGTCGAGTTGTGCTTCGCGAACGCGAGGGACCTATCGCGTTCGCGAAGAAGAGAGGTCTGGACAGAGAGTTTTTGACGGATTTGAGCTCGGGAAGAGGCAATTTTCGGGAGTTTTTCAAAGAAAACAACGGGGTAAGTGTTCTTAACTCAATATTGGTTAAATTACCCGAATCCATGGTTGTTTTTATCATTTAATTGGTGGATTAAGTTGGAAAAGTTTGAAAACCCTCTTAGTTTAAATTGAAGATTTGAGGGTCGAGTTAGGGTCGGATTTTGATAAAATTGGTATGGTTAGACTCATGGTTGAATGGGCTTTCGGATTTTGTAACTTTTGTCGAGTTTCGAGACGTGGGTCCCACGGGCGATTTTTGAGCTAAAATTTGGATTTTTATGAAAAATTAGCATTTTCTTATGGAATTAACTCCAATAAATTTTATTGACTGAAACGAATTATTTGTGACTAGATTCGAGGCATTTGGAGGCCGATTTGCTAGGCAAAGGCATAGCAGGGTAAAGAATTTCACGCTCTGAGGTAAGTAACAGTTTTAAATCTGGTCCTGAGAGTATGAAACCCCGGATTTTGGTATCATGCGATTATTTTAGAAGTGACGTATATGCTAGGTGACGGGCGTGTGGGCGTGCACCGAGGAAATTGTGACTTGGTCCGTCCCGGAAAACTGTAAAGTTAAATAATTTGTTGTTACCTATATGCTCTCTATGTGTTGATAAAATTTGACTGTAAATCATGTTAGAAATGATGCTTAGGCTATGTGATAGTATTGTTAGGACCCACGGAGGTCGCGTACTTGTTGAATTGCCTGCTAAATGCTATATGTACTCAGTCTCAGTTTTTACTTGCACATTTTATCTAAGTCTCTGTTATTATTATTGATACATCATATCATTATTGTTTGGGCTGATTTAATGATTATTGAGAGCCCGAGAGACTGGAGAGATTTATGACTGAGTGAGGTCGAGGGCTTGATTGTGAGATATTGATACTATAGCACGTGAGTTGTCCGTGCAGCATGTGAGTTGGCCGTGCAGATCCTTATATTATACTATAACACGTGAGTTGGTCGTGTGGATCCTTATATTATACTATAGCACGTGAGTTGGCCGTACGGATCCAGATATTTATATTATGGCATGTGAGTTGTCCGTGCAGATTATAGCGATTGGGTGTTAGGAGCCCCTCCGGAGTCTGTACACCCCCAGTGAGCGCGGGTACCCATTGAGAGTGAGTGATGAGGGCTGGGAGCCTAGGGAGTGATGAGGGTTGAGATCCCAGTGAGTGATTGTTGTCCTAAGAGGTTGTACTTAATTTTCATTTGTTATTGCACTTAGTTGCTATTTATCATTGTTGTGAAATCTCTGAAAGATTGTTGATATATGGATTACATGAACAGGAACTGTATAAAAATTGATTTGACATTAAACTGGCATATTTGATAGCATGTCTATTCTTTGCTGGAATTACTGGAAATGAACCATAACTATGTAGCTCGTTACTATCTTCAGTTCTTTATTTATTATCGTTACTTGCTGAGTTGGTTGTACTCATACTACACCCTGCACTTCGTGTGCAGATCCAGGTGTTCCCGGACATAGCGGGTGTTGATCCTTTCGCGCGGTTGATTTTCAGGAGATTTTGAGGTAACTGCTGTGTTCCGCAGACCTTGTCTCTCCTTCTCTATCTCTTTGTTTACCGTATTTGGTCTCAGACTATTATAGACTATATTTTCCAGACTTGCATTCATATTAGATATTCATGTACTCAGTGACACCAGGTTTTGGGAGTGGTTGTATCGGTAATTGAAAGATTTGTGGATTTTATTAAAATATTATATTTTCAAACTTAAGAGAAATTATGGTTTATTAAGATTTTCGGCTTGCCTAGTATTGAGATAGGCGTCATCACGACGGGTGAGATTTTGGGTCGTGACAGCAGGTCTTAGTGTGTCAAAATCTACTTGTGATCTTGACTAAGTGGGAAACAAGATAGAAAGATGATACTTTCTGAGTGTTTCCAAAAGAGGGCTAAGGCTAGGTGAGGGCAGGTCTTAGTGAGCAAAAATCGGCTTGTGATCTTTGCAAAGTGGAAAAAATTGACCCAAATTGGCCGTGTGACGACTGGTATCAGAGCTGAGACGGAAGTACTCTGATACAACTGGTATCAGTTTATCAGAGCACTTCTGAGACTTTCCCGAGTTTTCCGGATTTTCATGGTTAAAGTTAATTCCTGCTTTCTTAAACCTGCAATCACGGATCTTGTGGCCTTTCTTTCCACAATGGTGACATTTCGAAGGATTCCTCTTTATAAATTGAGGCTTATTGGAAACTTTCAAATTTTTGTTTCCATCTTTGTTACTCCCTCCGTTTCAAATTAGATGAGATACTTTCCTTTTTAGTCTGCTCCAAAATAACACATTTCTAAATTTGAAAATAATTCAACTTTAAACTCTTCATTTTATCCATTTTACCCTTAATGAGAATCTTTTATAACCACAAAAATATCATGGCCCCACAAAGCTTTTACCCTTTAAGATTTTAAGGCCACAAGTTTCAAAAGTCTTTTTATTTTTTTTAAACTCCGTGCTAAGTCAAACTAGCTCATCTAAATTGAAACGGAGGAAGTATTATTCTGATTAACATTATTATCTGTGGAACTTGAAGGTTGGATAAAAGCATCACGAATCCAATTCTCACTTTCAATTTGAATGTGAGTTCAAAACTGTTCTACAGTCAATTTCTCAGAAGAATGCAGGATTTTCTTTCTATAGTCATTCCAAGAATAAGGCAGTTTAGAAAGTATAACACCGATTTGACGTACATCAGGAATTTTAACTTCAAGATCAGATAGTTTTGAAACTAAGATTTGCAGTTCATGAATCTGATCCATAATGGGTTGTGTATCAATCATATTTAATTCGAAGTATTGCAAAGACAGAAATTTATCAATATCTCATTTTTCGTTTTATAAGCAGTCTGTAATGCCGTCCAGATTTTCCTTGGAGACTTCAAATTTTGATACAGAGTAGTTCATCATTTTCACGTTTCTTCCTCTTTGCTTTTACATCTTCAGAATCCTCTGGAGCGAGATCTGGCAGTGCGGGCAATTGCGAATCAAGTACATAAAAGATTTTCAAAGCAGTCAGTAGGAAAATCATCTTGTCCTTCCAGCGAGTAAAATTTGATCTATCAAAACGGTCGAGTTTGATGATCTCTTTTGGATTTTCAATAGCGAACATAATGTTCTCCATAGCAGATTATCTTCTTTAAGATTGTTAAAAAAAATAATTGAAAATGAAATTGAAGAAGGCTTGAGGCGTGAGAACGACTTTCCTTAAAGATGATATTACCCGTATACAAATTGGAGAAATACAAACAATCTTCTTTAGGATACAACAAGCCAAGAATATATCTGCAAATTTTTCTATATCCACTTTCTTGGAAGTATTTCTATTTATAGAGCAATCATCGGACCTTTTCAAAAAGATATGTTCTTTCACAAACAGATACATCTGTTTATTCAAATATATTTAAAATTTAAAATTCAAATAAAAGAGATTTTAATTGTAGTATGTGTTCTACATTAAACACATAAAAGAACAAGGACTTAAAAGGCACCAAAGGTGGCCTTTCAGCACCGATATGCTTCCCAACAATGTATAATAAACTATTCTTCACGAAGTTCACTCTTGGAAAGAGAAGTAAAAACAGTGGGCAGGGTAAATTAGTGGAACGTAAATTTTCAAGAAAAGGGACAAATAAATAAATGAACAAACAGAGAAGATATTTGAAGTGGATGGCAACTCCATAACAATAATCAAAGACGGTATCTGACAAGAGGATCCTTAAGTAGAAGGCGTTCATGATAGACTCTCCATGCGTAATCCTCGAAAGAAAAAGGATTGAACATTGGACTTTCTGAATTATTCTCGCCATCATCAACTGGTGGCGCCGATTTAGGAAGCAACGGAGTGACAGTACTCTCAAGCGGAAGTGTCACTAGCAATGTCATTGATACGCTGTGGGAATTACTATTACTCTTGCCTTCCGCTATATCAGCACTAGTAGGTATTGCTCTTCCTCTCACTTTTTTCACCTTTCCATTGCTCCATACCTGCACCCATTTATCTATCTATCACTTATATGAACAACCAAAAAGAATTACATTGACCGTTTGTCAAAATTACAAAGTTCTTTCATTATGTAATTTGACAGTTAAAAGTTTTCACTAGTCACTAGCTACTAGTTAATTAAGTATTGTGCAACACGACACTGCCGAATTTTCATCTTGCAAAATTAAATGGATTAAGGTGAATGTTTAGTAGAAAATAGATGAAAATTTGTCATTTTTTTATGCTTAATTTAGCCGGTATCTCTTAATTCTCTTAATTCTTGCTGATATTAACCACAGCACAACATGTATAAAAAAACTAAAGGCTCTGCTTACTTTCCTTTTTAATTAATTGACCTTGAATAGCAATTCAAAGTCCAGGACTTAAGGTTTAGAAATATTCCTTTTTTGAATTACTTGTGCTTATAACTTCTTAGCAAAATAAAAAGGTGTCGTTACGCCCCCTTTTTTTTTCTGAAGATCTTTAGCCTAAATATCTGTCCCACGAGTTGAGAATGATGGACGTTGAATTTTCTCCCTTGAAAATAAATGCTTTCCAAATCGAAATTGGATAGATTAAGCTTTTCAATTGCAACAAGTTATAACACGATAAAAGTCTTAATTGTTAGAATTAGGTGGTCGACAGCTACTAGTTTAAATAAATTAAGAATATTCTAGGATATCATTCTCAGCAGCCCTTGTCATATTATAACAAATGCACTACTAATACATCCATGAAACACGAGTAAAACAAGATATATTAACACATTCTTGTCGATTATACTTACTAATTAAATCAATATAGATCGGATACGGATTGTCAATAAGAGCTCAATCAGAAAACAAATGGACCAAGAATGCATATAATTTATCCAAAAAGCACCAAGTTGGGACAGAAGATGTTACATTAAGCCGGCAAACCTTACAATTAATGTCGATTTAATAGTGTTATCATATAGCAATAAGTATATTTTTCGTGTCAAATAAAACAAGAATTATAGCTCCAACTTCATATCAAAAGGACGCAATATCTAAGATATGGTAGGTTTAGTGGGGTCATTAGTTTTGGAGTTTGCCAATATCACGGCAACGTGTGGTTGGCCTGACCAAACACCCGGATATCACTCAATTTGTTTATGGAAATGAGGGTGTTTTATATGCAGGACAAAAATGGTTTCTTAAATGATAGAAAATAATTGTTTTCTGAAAAACATATAACAAAAGGGAAGAAATGTCACTCAAGATAGAAGTAGGCATCCGTTTATTGTGTGCGAATAAAATACGGTAAGGCAAAATAAGAAAGGATTTAATTAAAGAAAAAACGGAATCAGTAATACATAAAGTATATCAAACCAAGACCAACCAATATCTGAACGGAACGGGTTCAAACTTGTTTCTTTTATATATATAGAGAGAGAGAGAGGCGGATCCACAAATTTTACGGGACGGGACACATTTTTCAGCTCAACCAGTGCCCCTAAATGCTTTTAATATTCAGGGTGACAATAACTTTAAATTAACCATTTTCAAGGAGTAATTAACCATTTTTTTTTTTTTACTCTATTATACTTGTTTCAATCTACACTTGAACATTATCTTTTTTAAAAAAAATTCAAGAATGTCACTAAAACACGATTCTTATGCTCTATAATACTTGTTAAATGTATAATATTCATACTTACCTACTTTTATAACCAATCAAATAAAAACACTTTAAACTGATATTTCGAGATAAAATATTCTTAACACTATTTAGAAAATTCATGCTTCTCTGTACCATTCCCACACTAATTAAATTATTTTAAGCTAACGCAAAATCAAAAATGGAATGTACTAATTAAAAATCTAACCTGGGCTATGTCACCAAGGGTCACCAAGACCGAGTCCACTTGAGGAGAAACGGATACCCAACCCGAATCCGCCAACATGGAGTACTTCCGACAACGTATTTGAAAACTTAACCCGATTACAAACGGGTACAACGGACTCGAGGAAAGCGGCTTATTACTTAAACCGCCCTCAGTCTCGGATATCCACATCAACGAACAGAACCGGGTTCGGTCTTCTCCGACCGGGTTCTCAAACCCTACAGCACAAGCCAACTCTTCAATCACCTGCAACCCAAGTTTCTCCATTTGGCAAGTAAACTCACGGAGAGAGGTCAACCACAACTCGGTTGAGTTTGACTCAACGGAGCACGACGAGTCGAGACATAACGACTTCCCGTTAACGTTGTCGTCGTCATCATCGTCGTCGTTATCGAATCCCAACGGCCAGTTCTTGGGGAAGTAACGTTGTTTTTCATCATGTGGGAGATTGAAAATGGATGAAGATTCGGACTCGGCTGAGGTGGCAAGCTGAGAGGAGATTGAGTGATTGGTGAGTTGGAAGTAACCGTGTTGTTTGGCAGCGGAGAGGAGGTTAGAGTGAAGAGTTGGTTTAGGGTCGGAGAGAGAGATGAGAGGTGGGGAAGTGGTGGTTAATGGCGGAGATTGGCGGCGACCGGGGAAGGAGAGAGAAAGAGTGGGTGGAATACGGTGGAGGAGACGGGAGAGAGAGTCAGCGGCTTCGGATCCGGAGGTGGAAAGGAGGCTATTAGGTTGGGTTGAAGGAGTTGGTGGAGGAGCTGTGGTGGTGCCGTAGGGAGTAGGGAGGTGATGGAGGTGGTGTTCGTGTGTAGACGACGCCATATTTTTTTATTTTTTATTTTTTTGTTGTTGATGTTTTTGGAATTTGAAGCTTTGGAGTTGTAAGGGAAGGTGGAGAAGGTGGGACTAGCTGCTGATTTATAGGAGAGCAGCTAAAATGGAAGCCAAGTGGTCTCCCGCCAACGAGGTGCGTAAACTACACGCCTCATTTCAATGGATAATTTGATTAATGATAATTTCCTTTTTCTTTTCTCTTTTTACAAAAGCCATGTCTACTACTTTACTCATAATAATCCAATTGGTTAGCTATTTTAATTATCACTTTATTAGTAGGGTTATTCTAGCGGTGAGCACCCTCCACTTCCAACCAAAAGATTATGAGTTCGAGTCACCCAAAGAGCAAAGTGTGAAATTCTTGGAGGGAGGGATGCCGAGGGTCTATCGGAAACAAACTCTCTACCCTAGGGTAGGGATAAAATCTGCGTACACACTACTCTCCTCACACCCCAGTGATGGGATTATATTCGATTGTTGTTGTTGTAGGGTTTGATTTCTTACCTTATTTAACAGAATATCTTTTTTGGAGTCATGAATTTATATATGTATTTCATAAGATTAATTAAATTTATATATGATACTAATTTATTTTTAGAATTTTGTGATCTTTAACATAACATATTTATTCCGATAAAAGTATGTCTTTAAAGCAAAACATAAATGCTAAATTAAAGAATTTTTAAAGATATAAAATTGTCAATTTTTCTTTAATAAATAAAATTTTAAGAGTATCACATAGTAAAATGAAATGTAAGAAGTTGCATTAATTCTTCTATTTTCTGATAAATACTCATTTTTCATTTACATACTTTCCTCCTTTAGTTTGTTATATAGCTATTCATGACCCATTCTCTCCATCGACATAACTACTATCTTCGTTACTTCATAATACTTCTTCTATTCCGATTTCTGTGATATAATTCGGATTGCGAGAGTCAAACGAGCTTTTATTTAATCATAATTTCATATGTCTTTTAAATATTTTAAATTGTTAATTATTGTGACTTATATTATTTTTTATGTAGTTTTCAAATATGTAACTTTTATTTCAAAAAACTTAAGGATTATATTTCTGAATTAGCGGTTAAAATTAAGAATTTTTATTCTCGAAATTGAACTACATCACATAAATTGGGATAAGGGAGCAAAGTCGGAGCATAGATTTTTTGCTTTAATATCAACTTAACACAAGTAAATTCGATGATGAATGAAGGAATAATAGAACTGAGTATTTGGAGACTCATTCCTAACTTCCTACTAAACGTTTACCGGCTAATTACGTTGAACGAGTCCTGGGAAAGATTTTGTTGGGAGATGCTATGTCATGCCAAAGGTGGTCGGGGAAGTGTAGGCCCAGAGGCACAAGTCAGTGTAGCAAGATGCAGCGTCAGGACGCGTCCTGCTTGTCCTCTGTTTTTTTCCTTGTACATGATCAGATAACAAATGGTAATTGTAAAACCTTTTAAATATTATTCCTATTTGAAATCACTAAATTCATGTAATTTAGAAGTTGTAATACAAAAAGGACCCGGTACACAAGCATGGTCCGGGAAAGAATCCGTACTCCAACGAATGTAATATAGACAACTTATCTTAACGCAAACATCTAGTTGCTTTCACGACTCACACTCATGAAATATATGTTTTACAAAGATAATTTTATTATCGTTCCGAGCTCACGGAATTACACAATAGCATTCGTAAGTGTTGCCTTCTTGTTTAACGTTATTGTGTTTGGGACATTGATGGAGAATCTTATGTAATTAAAAGGGTACAACTCACGTGGTGGCTCCAGTTTAATACGTTAGTATTTGTTTATGAATTATTCCACTAATTTAGCACTGTCTCAATAGAACTTGTCTAGTGTAACTTTTTGTAGGTGGGAAATGGGAATGGCAGGCTGCTACCATGTTATGCGGAAACCTATGCAATTCCTGAATTAAGCTTTAAATAAAGGAATACGGAATAAAAGTGTGGTTGTTTTGGATTCAATCAACGTAAATATATTTTTTTAAAAATTGGGCACTATTTTATATATAGCGGTGAATATCAAAGTGTGATTCTTTTGAACTCAAACAACACAAATAAATTTTAAAAAAAAAACTAGGCACCATTTTATATATAGCGCGGATGTGGCTCCACCAATAATTTATTTGCACTTAACTGACCCACCAATATTTTATATGGGTATAGCGCCCATTATGCATGTGTTATATATCTATAGCGCAATAAATAACTGCGTTATATTTATATAGTGTGGCCCACCAATAATTCATCTACACTTAACTAACCCATCAATAACTCATATGAGTATAGCGCTTATTATGCATGCGCTATACATCCAATAATTGTACCCCCGGACTGATTTTTTTCTTATTTAAGAGGTTTCAGAATTTAGTAAAAATTCATTTAAGATCCTTCAAATCTTACAAAATATTTATTCGTTAAGTTATTTTGCATTTTGTCATAATGTCCGAAGAGCGAAAAAATAGGGTTTCATTATATTAGGGGTAAGGTTGTGGCGGAGAATAACTCAGTACACTATAGTTGTTCTCCAGAGTGTCATGTTAAGTTGTCACTTACAATGGAGTACGATAGATTGGTATCGTTGTTATGTAAAAAAATGAGTGTGAGCAAACGTTCGGTGAATATTAAAGTAACCGGAAGATATTTGTATTTTATTACTCCGCAAGGGATTGCTTGTTATGTTGAGTTTAACATCGAAGACTATGAAACTCTAACATATTTTTTGAGGACTCTGGATAAACACCGGGAACTTCTTGTGATAAAAAATATTGGAAATGCGCGTCAAGGCTGAAGACGTTCGCAATAATGAGGTTCCACAAAGTAGGGATATCTCTCAATCATCGGGTGGTTATTTTGGAGCAGTTTTAGCCGAACAGGTTCCGGGTGAAACAGTTTGGCCTCGTCAAAACTTATCTCCCCGAGTTTATATAATCCACAAGTCGAGTGGTAAACTTCAATTTTTCTTTGTGTTACGATATTTATTTTTATGTATTGAATTTGTATTAACACTCATATATTCCACAGGGGATACCGGCCAGATACAAATTTTACAAGTTATGAACCAACGGATAGCCGGAATATGCCTAGTTTTGGTGTGTTGGATCATGGTGGTCCATCCGGGAGTCATCACCAACAGAATAATATGCATCATGGGATATCAACACATTATGATTTGTAAGTAAAGTGATAAAGTTTATACGTAAAGTTTGAATGAATTTGAGAAACTCATTATTTTATTGGTTGTGCAGTGAAAACGAGCAACTTGAAGGTCCTGACCTTACTTAATTGCCCGAATACGACATATTTTATCGGGATCTGGCAGATGCGCAGAGTCAAGAAGATGATCGTGATTATGACAACAATGCTGACAAGTCTGGAGATGACACACCCTTCCCTGATGAGGGTGACGGTGATAAGGACGAGAATAATGAACCTGATTTGACGAGGGAGCATGCCTCACCTCCCTATTAGACCAAGAGTGTACGAGTCCCATGTGTCGCTTTATTCAAGGGATGTTCCCTACCTTGATCAGTTGCCAAGTATGTCGGATATGAATGCCCTCATAAGGGATCTTGACGAAATTCGGACTATAATGTGGGATGAATAACGGTGTTGTCAAATGGCATAATTTTTGTTGATAAAGCGCGCCTAAGCAGGGCGGTGCAAATGTACACCATAAAAGAGTGTCGTGAGATCGTGGTTCATGAGACTCTCCGAAAGTATACAAGGTTATTTGTCGTAGATGGTTTCAAGATTGTAATTGGATGTTGCGTGCGAGAAAGTTAAAAACAAATATGTGGATTGTGGGAAAATACATTGGCACCCACAATTGTGAAATGGACACATTGAGTGGGAATCATTTTAACTTGAATGTTGACTTGATTTCTCTTGTCTTGATTCCACACATTGAAGCGTCCATAAGATACAAGATCAAAGTGTGTATAACATTTATCCACCAGGTATATGGATGTACCATTACCAAAAGAAAGGCATTTTTTGGGCATAAACGTGCGTTTGAAATTGTTTATGATAACTGGGATAAGTCATTTGCCACTCTATCCAGGTACATGGCTGCATTGCAATACTTTAATCCCGGGACTGTTGTTGAATGGAAGCTCGAGCGGAGTCCGAGAATACCAGAATATAACATTTGTCCACCAGGTATATGGATGTACCATTACCAAAAGAAAGGCATTTTTCGGGCGTAAATGTGCGTTTGAAATTATTTATAATAACTGGGATAAGTCATTTGCCGCTCTACCCAAGTACATGGCTGCATTGCAATACTTTAATCCCAGGACTGTTGTTGAATGGAAGCTTGAGCGAGGTCCGAGAATACCAGAATACATATTTAGATATGTGTTCTAGGCATTTAAACCAGCTAGTGATGGTTTTGTGCACTATCGACCGGTAATATCCATAGACGACACTCATGTCTATGGAAAGTATGATATTAAGTTGTTGATCGTCATTGTTGTAGATGTTAATGGAAGTATATTTCCCCTAGCATTTTCTATTTGTGCCAATGAAAGCCAAGAGACGTGGACATTATTTTTGAACCACTTGAAGGAGCACGTTGTCAAACAGCGTTCAAGTATTTGTCTAATATCTGATCGGCATGGCGGTATTTTAAGTTCTGTACAAAATTTGCATGCGTGGCAGGAACCGTATGCCTACCACCATTACTGTGTTAGGCACTTGAAGGCCAACTTCGAAAGGGCTTATCTGAACAAAGACTTGCATGATTTAATATGGATGGCTGCAACAGATCACCAAAAGTGTAAATTTAGGAGGCGAATTGAATTGATTAGCGCGGATGGAATTGATTTAATATATATATATATTAGTTTATTATTTTATATCTTAGTTTATTATTTTATATGTCTGTTTATTATTTTATATCTTAGTTTATTATTTTGTATGTTAGTTTATTATTTTATATGTTTGTTTCTTATTTTATATGTTAGTTTATTATTTTATAACTATATATGATATAATTAATAAGTATTCATATAAAAATACTTAGTTTGACAAATATTATT